TACCGTCGAGTCCAGCACGACTCATATAACTCTATAAACAAAGGACTTTATACCTTTCCATAACTGTCATCATTTCTCCAATTTCATAGAGTTTCCAGAGGCATGTTTTTTAGGAACTGGATGCCACTTCTGCTTCCAAATCTGTTTTACAACAGGGAGCTCCATCAAACACTGTCCACACTGGGAAACCATTCTGGTATTTGACACTCCAGTGACACAAGGTTCAGCATCACAGCAAACCCAGGTTACCTCATACATCACATTGACAAAGAGTGATGTACAAAGTGTAAGAATGTTCCTCCATATATAACAGCACTAGTCTCATTCAGAATTGGTTAAGTGCACATGAAGAAATGTTCAAAATCCCTAGCTCTAAGAGAAATGCAAATCAAGACAACTATGAGATAGCATCTCATCCCGGTAAGAATGGCAGAATTTAACAGAACACCAAGCAACAAATGCTGGCGAGGTTGTGGAGAAACTGGAACCCTTATTCACTGTTGGTGGGAGTGTAAGATGGTGCACCACAGTGTGGCGCTTTCTCAAAAAGTTGCAAATAGAGATACCCTTTGACCCAGCAATTCCACTACTGGGAATATACCCTAAAGAGACCATACCGACATCCAAGCAGATATATGTACACCCATTTTTATCGCGGCTTTGTTCACAATAGCAAGGAGTTAGAAACAATCCAAGTGCCCATCAATAAACAAATGGATAGAGAAGCTGTGGTATATTCACACAGTGGAATACTATGCTGCATTGAAAAACAAGGAATTCATGCAATATTATTCAAAATTGGGAGACTCTGGAGGGCATTATGCTGAGTGAAGTATCTCAGTCACAAAAAGACAAATACTGTATAGTGCCACTCTTGTAGAATGGGACTGACATCAGGGTTGGGGTAAGACTGAGTAAAACTGGATAAATTATGTATACTGCTTTGAAGCCAATGAGGGAGAGAACAGTTTAAAAGTAATATATTTTAGGGCATTTTGATTATCATAAAAGTTCGGAATGTAGGTTGCAGAGTGGAGTATACTCAGGGTGGGGGTGGGGGAGTGTGGGAGGATTATATATACCAGTGAAGGAGATTTTCTTTTGCTTTTCAAGGAGAAGAGTGAACTGGCGGTGGCAGGGAGAAAAGTGCAACAATGAATGAATGGAAATCCAAAATCTCTGTAAATGTTCATTGAAATGAATAAAAAAAAAGAAGTGATTGTCATCAAGTCTAATATGACTCAGAGTAAGCTTTGCACAAAAGACCTGAACTCAGTTCTATAACTAACATAATTTCTGTATGTTTATAGAGTTTAGAGAGTTTGTAGAGTTTTCAGAGGCATCTAGTTTAGGAATTTGATGCCACTGCTGCTTCCCAGCATTAATCAGTCAACTCATCCAAACGTACATAATGGGTAAGTATTATGGTATTTGACACGATTATGGAACAGTTTGCAGCATCACAGCAACTCCAGGTGTTCAGTGCAGTAAATAGACAAACAATTGCTGTGTCATTTAAAGAATATTCATTCAAAAAGTAAAGGCTCAAGGATACCTGCTTTTGGGGGTGGGGGGGAAGAGCAGTAACACACATCAAACATGACCCCAAAAACTTCCTTTATGTGACTGATATGACTGCCATCAAGATGCTAGGTAACAGCCAACTTCTAGAGTGGAAGGTCACTCCAGGCCCCTGGCCTGCCTGCAGACCCATCCCCTCACTAACTCCTTAGTGAAATAAAATTATTTCAAAGAGTAAGTATGTAACTAACTGACAAGTACCTAGTACATGGCACTTAGGCCATGAAAGCAAGTACTCTGTGAATATTAGATGCTCCTGCTGCACTTAATATTGCTACTTTTATTTTTACCAATAACCAGAGCTCTGTACTACACTTTAAAATTCTCTCCTTGGTTTTTACAATTTGATGTGGCTCTTTAATATTTTGTTACACATTTGATGATTATTTGCATTAGTTTACTCATACTTTTCCCTGTCAGTATATTTCTGTTTGTCTCTCTCATGACAGTTGTGTTTGACTCTGCTTGAGTACTTGCTGTTTACTGGATAGTGTAAGAAATGCTTTATAAATCTTGGACCAGAAATTGAAGGACTGGTTCTACTCTTAGCATTTCTCAATCTTTTGACTTTGCCAGGAAATTTAAGCTCCTTAACCTCCGGTTTTGACATCTATAAAGCAGGTATAATAATAATCAGTCTGTCCTTTTATACTGTCATTAGGATTAAATGACACAAAATTTTTTTTATACACAAAACTCCTCATAACACAAGGATGTGGGCATCACATATTAATAAATTAATATATTTTTGGTGAAATTTTGAATTGTCAGATTTGGTGCACACAATATTTTTCACATGGAATTGCCTAGGTATTGTTTCTCCCTTCCTAGAATCTGATAATACAGTCCTGACATAGAGCAGACACACAGAATGGAATCTTAACCCCAAAGCAGTGCTGTCTATTCTACATTATATGAATGAATGGTAAAATAGTTAAGTCATGTATACATTTTACAGATGCACAGCTAAAATAGAGTAACATACTTGAAAGTACCTGTGAAAATTTAATGTTAAGATTGTTTTTATTGTTAGATGTCATCAAGTTGAGTACGACTCATAGCAACCCTGAGAACAAAAGATCTGAACCCTGTTCTATCCTGGACTATCCTCACACTTCCTGACGTACAAAAGTTTGCATGCTAAGTTTAGAGGGTTTTTACTTGCAACAAGCCACTCATCTTTTTTAGTTAATTTTGAAAGAACATTTTGAAGGTGGTATGTCTTAAGAGGAATTTACCAGAGAATCACAAGCAGTGAACAAATGTGAGTGTGAATGTGTTTGGATATGGAGAGACAGAAACAGACAAAAAGATAGATTTATCTTGAGGAGAGGCTTATGCAGTTGTAGAGGTGGATAATTTGCACATTTACAGGTCAGATGTCAGGTTGGAGACTTCCTGACTCACATAGTTGGAACAGCTGATGATCCCAAGATCGGCAGGTAACTTCACAGGTTGCTGGCTACAGAAGCCAATTTAAAGATTGGCAAGTAAGATTGATTCAAAGATTGACAAGTAAATTTGCTAGCTTGAGACTGTAGAAGCTAATGAATATCGAGATCAGCAGGCAGAAATTAAAAGAACTCATGATCAGATAGTAATTAGCAAGATCCAGCATTCAAATTAAAAAGCTAGAGCTTTGCCAGAATGTATATATATAGTTGGTACAGGCCACAGCTCTTGAGAAACTCTCTTTCAGCTGATTGGCTGCTTTTAACAAATCTCATCATGGAGGTGATCACAGGATGTGAGAGCTCATCACAAGGGCTGACAGTAACAGAGCAGCCAAGCCAGCATAGCATGGTCAGCCATGTGGACACACAGTCTTAACTATCTCAACAACTTCCCAAGGTAATTTTTACTTTGAATGATGAATAGAACAAGTAGTGAGGTGGTCTGAGGCTTCTAGGAAATGGTTAATAAATACCAGGACCACACAGAGTCGTGACTGAAGAGATTGTGCATCTTTATCCCATGGAGTAGTTAGGGAATTTGAACCACCTGATTTTGGGTTGACAGTACAAGTCCTTACTCACTAGGCCACCAGAGCTCCCTAGGAAATGTGATAAGAAAATAGAAGGGGTATGTGATTACTTATTTTTGTCATCACAAGCATCTAGAGCGAAGGCTGCATAGTGGAGTGGACCTGGGGGGAGGGATTGTAAAACAATGAAAGAATTTTTCTTTTACTTTTCCAAGAGGGTAGTGTACTAGGGTGAAGGGTTGGAAGGGGAGAAAAGTACAACAATGAATGAATGGAAATCCAAAGTCTCTGTAAATTTTCATTAAAATTAATAATACAGGAAAACAAACAGACAAACAAACAAAAAACCCCAACAAACAATGACAAAACTACTTAGTATATTTTTTTTTTAAGTTTAAAATGCTCTTTGTGTCAGTAAATTGCATACTCTTGTTTTTGGTGAAATGGTTCTGTGATACAGAATATAATATTTTCAAGTCTGCCTAAGCAACTGAAAAAAGAATGAGTCATGCTTTTGGATTTTTATTTATTTTTATCAGTACATAGTGTTTAACTTCTGTGATTTTAATGAACATTTACAGAATGGATTAATTTTTCCACTTAATCATTCATTCACTTCATATTTTATGACATTGATTACAATCGCCATACTGTAAAACCACCTCTCCCACTTCCTCTCTGTGATTCTTGTTTTCATTCATCCTTCAGCCCCTTGCTTCCTGCCTTCTTAGCTTTATTTCTGGGCACATGCTGTCCTTTTGGTCTTGTATGGTCGATTGTTCTAAGGAGTAAATATAGTCCTATCCATAATATCTGAAAGTTGAGCTTCAGTGGTGGATTAATTTCCAGTCTCACAAGTGACCAGGGGCCATATTCTCAGGTGTTACCATGTTATTTTATTTGGTGAGTCTTATTTTGTACCTGATGTTTGATTTTTTTTCAGTTATCTTTTCTAGTAAATCATTTCCTAGTGACACATTTTTACTTTTATTAGAAAAATGGCTCATGATAAAGTTAAATAATTGAACATAAGTATAATATATGGCATGTCTAAAAGAAAAGAATCTGTGTAAACAATCTCAAGATGTTGGAATTGTGGTTTATTTTGCAGTTTATTATTTGTGAATGTATGTAAATGTTTCATACATGCATTCCAGTAATCCAGAGCAACTTGAGGGCCCCTTTTGGGCTAAGTTCTGTCACCGTTGTCATCATCTTCAGTAATATGTGCTTGAACTAAAAATTGACCTTTTAAACCCACCCCATTTGTTTAAGGTGAGAACCTTTGTTTTGATGAACTGAGTGTGTTATTCTATATGCTGAGAAGAAAAATGTCCTGTTTGAAAATATGTTGAAAAAATATGCTGTATATAAAAATCAAGTCCCTGAAGGCCTTTCTATTTATATATTTTCATGTTTTGTTTTCTTTCACTAGAACACTGTGGTAGACTGTAAAATATCATCTGCAACTGGAGATAAGCATTTTGATAAAAGCCCCACTAAAACACGGCACCCTCGGAAAATTGACCTAAGAGCTCGATACTGGGCATTTCTTTTTGACAATCTTCGCCGGGCAGTGGATGAGATCTATGTAACTTGTGAATCAGACCAGAGTGTGGTGGAATGTAAGGTAAGGTTTGTTTTGAGATTTTGTAATGCATTTTAAGTAAAATGTCCCAGTCTTTGCTACACTTGAATAATTTGCCTTTTTCTAGTGTCAATAAATTCTTTGTAATTTTTTTTATCACATTACCTCTTGTTATGGAAACTATTCTTTTGATCGGTACACTAAAATCAGCATTATGCTTCAGAATATCTTGACTTGAGGAATCCTCCTGTTTTTGTTTTTCCTGGCACTAATTATGTACTTTCATATTCAGTGAAAGACATGGAAAAGCAGTGTTGGTACACAGCAGTGGGCGAGGAACATATGGGTATGTGGTTAGGTGCCTTGCAGTTGGCTCCACTCATCATGACAACAGAGGAAAACTCTTCCTGTTCCTGTGCCATCCTCACAGACTCCGCTGTGCATGAGCCCACTGTTGAAGTCACCGAGTCCATTTCAGTCAGAGTTTCCCTCTGTTGTTATTAGGTGCTGTTGAGTCAAAACCAATTCATAGCCGACCCTCCAGGGAATTATAAATTGTACAGAAAGAGATAACTTCTTTCTTTCCCATGGAGCAGCTGGTGGATTTGGACTTTGTGCTGTTGAGTTGACAGCGCAGCTTCTCCTCCACTAGGACAGCAAAGCTCTAGATTTCCAAACATGATAGTTAAGTTTATTACTACCATTAGTAACCCTTTGTGAGGGCTCTGGTGGCTTTGTGGTAAAGAGTTGTGTTGCCAACCTAAAGGTAGGTGGTTTGGATCCACCAGCTGATTACTGGGAGAAATATAGGCAGTTTCCTCATATGCAGTTTATAGCCTCCGAAAATCTGCTAGAGGGTCAGTTATGAGTCACTTCTGACTGAACAGTGCATAACACTAGTAACCCTAAAAGACAGAGTAGGGAGTTCTCATGGCCTAATGGGTAAGGAATCACACTGCCAAAACCAAAGGCAAATGGTTCGAATCCACCAGCTGCACTGAAGGAAAAAGATGAGCAGTCTCCACCCATGTGATGTATGGTCTCTAAAAAACCTGTTTAAGGGTCAGCAGTGAGTTAGTTTTGACCTGAAGGCACATAGCAACACACAACAAAGGCACAGATTGCCACATCATCTGCTTGCATTGGTGTCTTCCAGAGTATGGCTGGTGGATTTGGTTAGCATTCAAGGGCTTTAACTGCAATGCCACCCAGGTTCCTGTAAATGTACTTTTATGTAATAATTTTTTTTAAAATATGTTTTTTCTTTGTTCTCTGTTGGTGCTGTAGGTGGCACTAGTGAGATTTCCACATTCTTGGGCTTCATGTTTAATGTCTTTAATTGGACATTACTCCCAGTCCATAGAGATAGTTATCACTCTCCTAATTCGCTGTGGTCAGGGAAAAGTGAGATTGATGGCCGACTGTAAACAGTCCTGGGTGGGATTGCGATGTCATTGTAAGGTGTGCTTTCTAATTTTAGATAACCTTGTGTCTGTAATAGGATATTAAACAGACCTAGCCTTGCCTGTGTCTGAAAATTCACTAAAAAGTCTGGCCTTTTAGTAAATATAAGCTATACACGATGCTCCTTCATACTGAATGAAATTATTTTGAAATTAACCAGAGTGGTACATATTCATAAAAATATTAAAGCAGTAGCTTCAGTTTCTGTACTGAATGTGGTTTAGAACCTTGGAAGTATTTATTTACCCTTTGAAATACTTAAAGGGTCAAAGAAATGTTACATATTGAGACAGCAGTTGCATTTTCTCTTAAATTGGAACCAGCTAAATTAGGTTTAGACTAGTTAAAAAGTGATTCAGCAGAAGCACGTTTCAGAATGAACAGTAATTGAAATAATCTAAATTCATGGTTTGATTGTCACAATTAATATTGTTACTATCAACATGTAAAAACGTTTTATGTTTTAAGAAAAATAATTTTCAGTAAAATAGGATCCTTGGAATATAATGATTAGCATGTTGTGGTAGAAAAGACTACTGGACTTAATTTGGGGTATTGGTTTTGTCTATAAAATGAGCACATCAAAGGAAGTATCTAGGTCAATCTTGCAGTCTTTGACTTTGTGGTTGAAAGTTAAAAAAAAGATTGAAGAAGCGAATTTTGTTTGTAAAATACGTCTTCCATTATACAAGCGAGATGAGCCAGTTGCAATCATGACTTCCTCTGATGAGCAGAAATTGTTACACCTGTCTCTGCTGCTGCATCTCTTCCCACAAGTCAGAATTGGCCATGACACAGCGTAGCTTTTATCTCTGACTGTCACTCATTCTGCTTTGTGAAAATTTAATAGTAGCAGAAATTTGTTGTGTAGATTATAATTAGAAGCATGGAGAGAGTGAAGTAGAGATGTGTTCTTTCTTTGTACTATTCCCAGATCTCAAAGACTTATACCAAAGGAAAACAAAATTCTAGGAACTTAAAATTTATTGCCATACTTAATTCCAACCGTCACCTCATCTGGGATTCACAGATGGAGATGTAGAAAGATACAGTTTACCATTTGGTCTCAGCACACATAATTAGGATTCCTTTCCTTTCTGTTTTTTCTTCTATACTTATCATCAAAGCGCTTACATCTATTATTTCCTGGAATATTTCTGTGAGTTACATAGCCCAGGGACTTATTTTGCAAGTGGATTGAACTCTTGTCTTGTGGATGCACTGAGAGAATTTATCATTATATGTACTGTATGTGTTTTAGCTTCAATTCTATAGCCACAGTTCAGTTCTTGTTTCAACTGTAAAGTTTAGTTCTTAACACGTTCATTGTGTAACTCAAATCTTAAGTGTAGTAATTGTGACACGACAATGAAACATACCTTTCCAGTTTGCCCAGAATTACTGATGAGAACTCACCTCTGTGTTCAAAAGAGGCTAAGTTCCTCTTTTTTTGAGATTGAAGAAGTCCTTGTCTTCTAACAATTGTAACCTTTACCCCTGTACCTTGCCCCATCTCCCTTTATAAAGTGAACCAGAGTATGGGCTAGGTCTTAACATCTTATAAAGATTTCCATTTAGGGAGCATATAGCTAGTGGAGGAGTTTCTGGGTGGCACAAATGGTTTGATGTTCAGGTACTAACTTTCGGGTTCAAATCCACCCAGAGGTGCCACAGAAGAAAGAGCTGGTGATCATCTTCTGAATAAACACAGCAACTGAAGAGCTGTGGATCCCAGTTCTACTCTGAAACACGTTAGGCTGTTGAGAATTAGAACTGAATCCGCAGCATCTGGTCTGTGGTTAATGAAGTATATCAACTTGTTCTCATAAAAACTTGAGGTGGGGCCTGAAAAAATTACTAGTGAAGTGTGTGGATCTTCCTGTCTACAGGAAGAGGAGATTGATTTCTTGTTCCTGGCTAGATAGTTGCTGGGGTGACTCATTCTGCAGCTTCTGGGCTGTATTGAGTTTGAAGAAAGCATGCTGGAAACACACAGTACTTTTCTTCTGTTTACCAGTTCAATTTGGGGATATACGTGGGAGGTACACTTTTACTTAATAGAGATCAGTGCCTACATTTCCCTGAAACCTTTGATACATAGGTAGTAGGCTTAAACTAGCAAGGAAATAGGGTGAAAGTTCTTAGTAATCAAGTGAAGAGGTTGTCTGTGTGTCTGCTAGGTTAATGTATGTGAGGGCAGAAGCATTTGTGCAGATATTGGAATTGGAGGAACTTTCTGTGGAGACATAAGGCTGGGAGAATACTTGTAAAACTTTGAAAGACGAATCTGAACATTATCTCCAAATGAAGCATTGCTGTTTTTCCACTTATCATTGAACTAAGTAATTTTAAGTATAGGGAATAGAGAAGGCATAACTATTGTGAAAAGAAGATAACCAGGAAAATAATAATGCATATGTAGTAGGAATACTGCAGGGTTCAAGAATGGATGCCATTGAGAGAAAGCATTTACAATTTGGCATCCAAAGGAAACAAGAACATATGGGATCAAGGTACAAATTTGTGGTAAGATGTAAAATTCTGCCTGATGGTCTATCTTTGCCTTTTTTGTTTTTGGAAAATAGCAAGTTTACACTGGAGGCTTGAGGTTATTTTTACTGGTATGTGCCATCAAGTGTTACTCTACTTACAGCTAACCCTCTGGTGGATTTTGAGAGGCTGTAAGTTGGAAGGGAGTAGATTGCTCATCTTTTTTCCTGTGAAGTAGCTGGTGGATTTGAACTGCCTGCCTTTAGGTTGGCAGTGCAACTCATTACCACTGGGCCACCAAGAGGCTGAAGTAGTTGTCATGGAGAGAGGAAGGGCTAACTTAGAGAAAATATAGAATCCCCTGGAAGCCTTGAAAAAATCACAGTTGAGGTTGGAGATTGTTCTTTCCCATTTTTCATTTTTTCCCCCCAGTGGTGGTTCTACTCTCCACCAGGTGCTCCATGGGAGAAGGATGAGTATTCTCCTCCCTTGTGATCAACTGCCTCTGAAAACCAGCCAGAGTCGGTTATGACATGGTTCTGACTTCACGGCACACAGCACCACTTGTATCAGAATGCAACTTGTTTATTTTTTTGCATCATAAAAAAGCTAAACAAACCCCTAAATTCTCTTTCTACTTTGCTTATTCTTCCAATGATCTTATTCCTCCCCCCGCCCCCCGCCCTTTGTAGTCACTGGCTTTTTCTTATCCATACAATGTTTTACTTATTGAAAGGTATTAAGAGGTCAGCTGCTTTGTTCACATTCTATTTTCCCTGCAGTTTCTTCTAGGCTGTGGCTTAATTTGCTGTTGATATGCTGCTGATTCTGAGCTTTATGTTTGTAACCTTTACATTTCTTCTCATGTTCAGATCTGTATACCCTGCTTGCCTGGTTCGTATCTTCACTTGGATACAAACATTTGAAATTGACATATGGAAAATCAGACTCATAATCTCCTTTTCCCACCTAAGCCTGGGGATGTTACCCTAAATATCATATACTTCATTTTTCATCCTCTGTCTGTGCTTGAAACCTGGTAGCATCCTTTTTTGTTCCTCCTTTCACTTCACTTCAGCCACTGGCCA